GATCGGCACCTCCCCCTAACCATGGGACCTCCACGGGAGGTCTGATCGCGCAACCGCGCATTATTTTGCCCCGGGGCAAACAGCCACGCTCCCCCCCCCGCATTTTCCGACCCGTGTGACCGGGGCCATAAAGTATCTTCTTTAAAGGTTCTGTTGTACATGCTTTGACCATTCAAAGTGCTTTGAGTCAGGATGTGTGGCAGGGCCTTCAGTGGAGGCATCAATATGGTGAAAAACTCCCTCAACAGGGAAATCCATACGGTATCTTTAGTGGTCATCAGATGTTGGCTAAAGAAAATACTGTTCTAGAGAGCACTGATCTGTGATTTTAGTGACACTTGGAATTTCCTTGGTTTTCCAGATTTGTATGTTGTTCAACTGGTCTGACTGTTCCCTGGAAGGCCAGATACTGAAGCTGAAGCTCAAATACTTTGCCCACCAAATGAGAAGGGAGCACTCACTGGAGAAGATCCTGATGCTGGGAACGACTGAAGGTCAAAGAAGAAGGGGGCGGCAAATGATGAGATGGTTAGACAGTGGTTATCGAGGCAACGAACATGAAATTAAGCAAACTCGGGAGCACGACGGAAGACAGGAGGGCCTGGCGTGATGTTGTCCATGGGGTCACGAAAAGTCGGACTCGACTGTGCAACTGAACAACAACAACAACAACTGACCCAGTAATTTTACCTGTTAACAACCCCTTGGCTTCACATACTATTGTTATGTTTATACGTTTTTTCTTTTTTTATTGTGCATGGGTTTGCTAGAGTTTTATTGCATATTGTTGGAATTTTTAAAAATATTTTTTTAGCTGCCTTGGAACTTTGCCAGATAGCAATGTACAAATATTTAAGTAGTATAAAGTCCAGAGAGTTTGATTGCTCAGTAGGGAATTTAACTGGGGCGTCAAACCGAACTTTGCACTACACTTTGTTTTCAATCAGTTTAAAATGCAAATAGTTGTAGGGTCCAATGAATAAAATTCAGGCAGCTGTCACTTCTTTGCAATCACCTGTAAGTGCTAAAATGGGAGAGAAATTGCCTACCTTAAAGTTCTGTTGAAAATATAATAATTTGGAAGTTTAGAATTCTTCCATGAGCTTTTTTGCATACACAGTGATCAATTTATGCTAGAAGCTATTCTGGCTGGGGGGGGGGGGAAGGACTTAAATCTCATTCACTTTCAAGAATGTGAGGGACCATTCATAAACCTGAAGATGTGGCAGGAAGGTGTGGTTATGATAAAGGAGGTATACGGTATTGGTTGAAATGAAGCCAAATTGTGGCAGAGAAGGAGGGATTGCGTCTTGTTCCAAGTGCCAATTTATCAGTATATATACTTCTACAGATAAAGAGGAAGTCACCTTTTCACAGACACACAATTTAGAAAGGAACAACAGACTGGCTTGCAACTCAGAAGAACAGAATTCTACTCCTAA